CAGGGGCTGCCGCTGCAGCTCCTGCTGAGGCTGTCGTGGGAACAGGCCAAAAATAGCCTGTTCCCGAAACCCTGGCTTTGTGCCTGAGTGTTAGGGTAGGTCGATCTTATGAGGGCCCGAAAGTGGCCCTCCGTTTCAGGCTGAAAAGCCCTGTTTTAGGCTGAAAACGAAATAGGGCCTGCAGGCCCTCGTTTTCAGTCTTTCAGGCTGAAACGATAGGGGGCCTGTAAGCCCTTATTTCTAGGCTTTTAGGCTGAGAATGCGGGACGGGCCCTGCAGGCCCGTGTGGCTACGCAGTATGCCACAGCCTGGGAAGTCCCTATGAACTACCTCGTGACTACCTCGTGACTGCCTGCAGCCTGCAGGGCGGGCCAGTCTTATATAGTGCTGGCCCGTCCAGGAGGCTGCTCTTGCCAATGCCAAAACGTGCCAGACCCTGGTGTTGAAGTTCAAACAAAGGTTGTCTTGAAAACAGGCGCAAAATGGCCTGTGCTAAAAACCCTGGTCTGGTGCCTAAGTTTCAGGGCAAGTCAACTTTATGAGGGCCTGAAAATGGCCCTCGTTTTCAGGCTTTTAGGTTGAAACGACACAGGGCCTGTAGGCCCTCGTTTTCAGGCTTTCAGGCTGAAACGACACAGGGCCTGTAGGTCCTTGTTTTCAGGCTTTCAGGCTGAAAATGACACAGGGCCTGTAGTCCCTTGTTTTCAGGCTTTCAGTCTGAAAACGACACAGGGCCTGTAGGGCCGTTACTTTTCCTTGTTTGGTCGGGCCTTGCAGGCCAGTGTGGATGTGCAGTATGCCACCCCCCCCCCTCCTTGAAAGACCGAGCTTACCTGTGAGGGCGAAGCTGCCTGTTGGAGGGAGGGACCAAAGTCCGGGTGGGAGGGGCAGGTTTGTAAAGCTTCCTTAGCTAGTCTTCGTCGCTCGTAGTCGGCGTAGATCAGCTGTGCAGATGCTTGCAAATCTGCGAACTTGGTGTCAAAAATGTCGAAGGACACGGCCTCACTTGCATGCAGGGCGAAGTACACAGGGACGGGGTCAATGCACCGGTCGATTGACTTGTGCGTGTGACTGTCAGCCAACGTGACTTGCGTGGGCTTCCACTTCCTCCGAACGCATGGGCCCAGGCCAGTGCGTACCAGAAAATCCTGGCCCATATAGTTGCGAGTGCTTCGGCAACCGATCAAAGCGCTGCAGGTCGCCTCTCCGATCTGAATGCGTATGTACAACAATGGCGCGTCGATGTCGTCATACCATTGTCTTGAACTCGCTGTCGATCTTCGCAACGTAGTCGTGTATGTCGACAACCTCTACTCTGGCATCCATCAACGGAGCTGGTATTGTAGTGTGCAAGTAATCCCGCAATTGTGCCTTGAGCACGTTGCGATGCGGTTTCGGCAATCGACCGGTCGGGGGAGCAGGCATCCATTGGAAGTCCGCGAACGTCAACGGGTCGAGCTCTTCAAGTTTTGACCATGATGTCGAATCCCCGACGATAGATGGCGGCGAAGCTGCCGAATCGGTTGCCGATGGTGATGAAACCGTGCATGCGGTGGATTGTTGCACTTGGAGTGGTTGGTCCAACGGTGGGACCAAGTGGAGAGCGTAATCCTCGTAAGATTACCGAGGACTTGCGACATGCGCCTCCTCCCCAGATGTGTAGGAGGCCGCTAGCAAGGCGGCCGAATCTGGCGGAGTGAGAGGTGGAGTCGCCTCACCTTTCGCGTAGCTCAGTTTCCCGAGTTGTGGTACTGGTTTTCCATTTCCGGCCGGCGATGCGGTTTTCGTCTTCCCTTTTCCCCGGGAGTTGTTGTTGCTTCACGGCTGGACGGCGGCCACCTGATCTCCCTCCCGTGATGCTTGGGTGGCTGCCGAGTCTTCCACAATGGTGTCCGGTTGAACTGTAGCGACATGCTGTGGACGCGGACCAAATTTTCCCTTCTCCACATGGGCTGGCTGCCACCCTGTCCTCTCGTGTGCAGCAGCCCGGTTGGTCTTGATGATCTCTCGGATGGTTCGAAATGCCAGAACTTGAGCTTTTCGACGCTGGCGGCTTGTTGCCACTTCTGGGCCTCCTTGCAGCGTGTCTGGGTGTCTGTGTTTGCTTCGACGTGAAGCCGCTGCTTTTCAGCTGTTGCCTCTGCTTCAGCCTGTAGGCGGGCCGCCTCGGCTGCCGCCTGACACTGTTTGTTAAGGACTCCGCCAGGGCTCGACCCCTGGTCTATTTTGTTGTTGTTTTTGCTACATCCCGTTTTTGGCCTGGCACCCTTTTTCCAAACCCCTCCTTTGGTACCGTCGGATTTTGGACAACTGGCGCCATGCTACAATTCGGGTGCCACTTTCAAATACCGCATTTTTCAGTTCTGCCCTCGGGGCTTTTGCAGAGATGCCCCTCGTACCGTACGTGTCACCGACACTTATACCGGTTCCCCGTACAATACGGGCAACCAGTCTCGTACCAGTTTCAGTTGTTGTACTCGGACTCAGTGTGACTTGCTCCTGTTTTCGGCATTCGGAATCCAAGACTTTGACTTGGTGTCCTTGCCACTGTGTCTGCGTCCGAACCTCAGTCGTGTCGAGTGAGTGAGTGTGTGTGTGTGTGCTCTCACTCTCTCCCTCTCTCTCCCCTCTCCCTCGGCTCTCCCTGTCTCCCTCAGCCACGCGCTCGTTACACTGGTATCGGAGTGGTTCGAACCTGCCCGACCCACCTTGCTTCGTCGCCGTGCCACGTCATCATCGTCATCGTCATCGTCGTCGTCGTGCCACGTCATCATTGACGAGAACGTCGTCGTCGTGCCACGTCATCATCGTCATCGTCATCGTCGTCGTCGTGCCACGTCATCATTGACGAGAACGTCGTCGCCGTGCCACGTCATCATCGTCATCGTCGAAATCGTCGTCGTCGCCGTGCTCGTCGTCCTCGTCGTTGCGCCACGTCATCCTCGTCGTCGCCGTCGCTGTTCCACGACACAGATAAGTAATCGACGACAATTTTCTTTTTTTCTTTTCTTCTTCTTCTTCTTCTTCCAATTCTCTTCTTCTTCTTCTTCTTTCTCTTCGTTCTTTCCTTCTTCTTCTTCTTCTTATTCTTCTTGTCTCGACTCCAATCCCACTCTTCCCTCGACTCCGATCCTCCTCCCGTGCA